AAAACATAACATAAATACAAAACAGAAACAGACTCATAGACATAGAATACAAACTTGTGGTGCCAAGGGAGCAGGGGTGGGAAGGGACAGATTGGGATTTTAAAATGCAGAATAGATAAACATGATTATACTGTATAGCACAGGGAAATATGTTCAATATCTTGTAATAACCTTTAATGAAAAAAAGAAAACAAATATATGTATGTATATGCATGACTGGGACATTGTGCTGTACACCAGAAACTGACACATTGCAATTGACTGTACTTCAAAAAAATACAAAAAAATTTCCTATTATTCAACATTTACATTTTTTCCAAAATATCTCCTTTTATTGACATCTTATGGGTCATTGCGTTACATGCAATTGTATATGTATACTTTTACAGATTTTGGTACAAATTGTCCTCCATAAAATGTGTTCATTTTTGAATTTCCCAAAATGCCTAAAGAGAGCCTTGCACATGGTGGACATAATCCATGTGGGATGAATGAATGAAGAGAATCCAGAAAAATCTTTTCCCCTCCCTCTAGTCTTTCTTCTTTTCTTTTGAGCCCTCAGTGGAAGACCTGCTGATTCTTCAGTCCCCAAGGGAAGGGCCTGTGCAAACTAACCACCTCGAATCTCTCACCACTTTGGAGGCTGGGGAAACAGGTCCTGAGAGGGAGCATCTGGTTCTGAACCTGCCTGTGGGTGATGGTAAGGCTGGGGCCAGAGGGGCCTCCCTGAGGCTTCGACTCCCCTCCCAGCCCAAGCCTCCCCCACGTCACACCCACAGGACAGCCCTTCCTCACCTCTTTCCAAACCTTCACGTTCTTCATAAATCACATTGATATTCAAGTGGCTTGTGCTACATCAGATGGAAAAAATAAAGAGAAACCCTGTACATACAAGTTCCTAAAATACATCCAGCATGGAGGAGATCTTGAACATTTTTTTCTCTGAAACCCATTTGGGTAATTTTGTTTGTTTTTCAGTTGTATTTCTTAATTTTTTATTAATACCTGACATGAAGTGGAGAAGAAGGATGATGAAATTTGGAATCCAAAGGTTTAGATTTGAGTCTGGCATTGACTCAGACACACAATCTCTCTGGGCCTCCATTCTCTCCCCTCTAACGTGGCAGTTGTCCTAAAATCTGCTTCCTGGGAGCCAGGTAAGGATCAGGGGAGACGGTGGCTATAAAAGCGAGCCCTGTGATAATTGTATAACTGTTTAACTACGTTGATAATATTTGCTGCTGTTGATAAGACTGAAAAACATTTCCCTAACCTGGCATGCCCGGCCCCTGAGGCCTTTCGAAGATGGGTTTCTCAATGGGGAGAAAAGAAGAAACTAAACCGTCAGGGCGGAAAGAGCATGTGTGGAGGGCAGGGAAGCCTGCGGTCCAGTTCCAGGTGCTTGGGGCCTCGGTGCCCTCATCGGCAGAAGGAAGAAGTTGGACAACTGACCCTTCCGCTCTCTTCTGGCTCTGAGACCAGGGCACTTACTCAGTGACCCGGAGGAAATCATTTCTCCGAAGGCCTTAGTTCTCCCATCTGGAAAAGGAAGGGATTGGGCTGGATGACCTCCCTGGTCCATTTACGTTCTGAGAATTTGCACAACCCCCGGGACCCAACCACTTCTGTTCTCCAAGGCGGCCTTGGTGCCGGGGCTCTTATGCAAACCGCAAGCCTTCCGGGCCGTGGCCTCAAAGCCCACAGGTGGTGGGCTGTGGTTTCCTCTCTCCTGGGCTTGGTTTTCCGGTCGCATGCTCACAGGTGGCTGAGTGACAACTTGGTGGCGTGAACCAACCTTCCATCCGCAGGCCATCACACGTGCTGAGCGGGCTGCCCGCAGATGTCCCTTCCTCCCACATCCTCCTTCTGTTTCAGGGTGGAACCGGCCTCTCCGGCCCGCCCCACTCCCCACCCCCGACCCCGGCCTGGCACTGTGTGCTCCCCATAAACTCATTTGCAGTCTCCTCCTGGGACGGGGCTGCCTGCTCTCTGCGCATCTTCTTCCTGCCGGCTCTGCCTCCAAGTGATCTTTTCCCTCCTCCTTAGTAACTCACTCTTCCTTACCTCCGTAATCGGTGTCCACCACTCCTTCCACACCTCTTTTTTGGCTCTTAACACTTTCTGTCTTTTAAGAAAATTTCAAGTTGCTCCCTGTCTTCTGGGGGCTGGGTGTCTCTAGTCCTGACCGCCCACCTCCCACAGGCACTCCATGAAATGAGCGCTGTTGGGTGTTGTAAGGGACTTTTACACGTCTACTCTTTCTTCAAGGTTTTGCTTGATTGAGTGGTTTGGGTGAGAGTGGAAAATTTGGGCATAGACACAGTCAAGTGAAGGCTTTGTTATTAGTCCCAGGGGGTCCTGTCTTCCTGTTCAGCCCTGAGTTTAATAACACCATCACCACCAGTATCATTAACAACAGTCCCCTGAATGAACGACCCAGAGAGGCCCAGGTGTCACTGAGCTGGAGGACCTGTCAGCAACAGGGCGGCATAGACAGGTCTCCACTGTCCGCCGGACCCGTGTTCAGAGCCTGCTTCACTCCTTGTTAGCTGTACCCTTGCCAAGTACTTAGCTTCTCTATTTCTTATTTAGACAATGGAATTCTGGTTTCTTATTTAGACAATGGAATCGTAATACCTCCCTCATAGGGTTGTCGTGAAGCTTAAAAACCAACTGATGTGGAATTCTTAGCATGGAGCCTGGTGTTGGGAAATAGTGGCCAAGCATGCAGACTCACACACTCCCCTCCTGAAGTCACTAACAGATTGAGACTGTGTATTGTTAGATGCCAGATGAGTGACCCACGGCAGGTTCCAGAGGCTCAGACAAAGGGAGGCAGTGCCCTGTGTCATTTACAAAGGGCTTTTATGGACGTCACCGCACGATTCCTCAGCGTGCTCAGGAGGGTGAGCCGTTCTGGTATCATCATATCCAGTTTTCAGAGGAGAAACTTTAGGCTCAGAGGGGTGATGTGATTTGCCCAAGGTCCGTCTGATTATAGAAATATGTGCTTATGGTAAGTTAGAATATGTGTCTGACACCTAAACCTAGGTTTGCTTGTTTCACCCCAAACTCTCTTTCCTCAACACACTGGCATGATCAGGAGGAGGGGAGATACTTTCTTGGGGTCTTGGTACAGAAGGAATACGGAAGGTGTTCCAGGCAGGGGCATTTTATAAACAGGTCTAGAGGCAGGGACAAGTATGTTGGGGTCCAGGAAAAATGACTAGGTATGTTTTGCCAAAGAGGAGAGTTCATGTAAAAGCAGTAGGGAAAAACAAAATTAAGTTGAACATACACTGGAGGGCCTTGAACGTCAGACTAAGGAACTTGAGCTGTGGTAGGCCATGGGGAGTCACTGAAGGTTTCAGAGGAGGGGAGTAACATGATCTCATCAAGATGATGAGAGGCCTCCAAACATGACTCATCAGGAAAGCCGGAGAAACGGATGTTTAACCTAGAGGAGAAGGGACATGTTGGAAGAGAAGGGGGTGTTTGCCAGCCAGGGGGAGAACATGATGATTGTCGGGTGAAGAGAGGGGTACAGGGGCTCGTGTGGGATCAGTGAGGGATAATGGGGGATAGGGGAGAAGCAGTGAGGACCAATGGGTAGAAGTTCTGAAATTCTCAGTTCAAATGGGGAAGAACTTTCTGGTCCTTTCAGTGCACTTGAACGCCAGATACTGAGAGCCCACCGGGTGCTCTAGGCACAGTGATGCAGTGGGGATGGAGTGGTGATGGAAACAGACAAAG